GCATTGTCTTCCCAAACTGCCAGGCACGGCCCCTCTCTCACTCTGCCCCCAGAATGCCTACTGTAGGTATACTGGGGGGGGGGAGGAATATTTTTTCCCGAGTGCCTGCCCTTCCTGTGCTCTGGGGGGGCGTAGCCTGGACAGAAGGGGCGGGGCTGTGGGTCTTGCCTCACCCAGCTCTACCTTCACCTATTGCCCATGGCTACTGCCCATTACCAATTCAGGGTTGGGCTGCCTCAGCCAGCTCCTATTCACCTTCTTCATTGGAGCTGGCGTTACAGAGGCCTGGCTCAAGTTTTCCCAGACAGCTCCCTGTCACAATCACACATGGAGATATCCATGCTATAGCTATCTAATGTTCTTCAGTGGCTCCCTCAGTACGGCAATAGACGAACACCTCACCATCCTTGACGCATTTATCCTCACTATCCTTGACGCATTTACACTCCTGTGAGGTAGGGAAATACTATAATGCCCCTTGTACTGATAGGGAAGAGATGCACAGGGGCTACATCTAGACTGGCATGACTTTCCGGAAATGCTTTTAACGGAAAAGTTTTCCGTTAAAAGCATTTTCGGAAAAGCGTGTCTAGGGTTGGCACAGACGCTTTTCCGCAAAAGCACTTTTTGCAGAAAAGCGTCCATGGCCAATCTAGACGCGCTCAGGGCTTTTTTGCGCAAAACAAATCTCAGATGTCTACACTGGCCCTTTTGCGCAAAAGTTTTGTGCAAAAGGGATTTTTGCCCGAACGGGAGCAGCATGGTATTTCCGCAAAAAGCACTGATTTCTTACAGTAGGAAGTCAGTGCTTTTGCGGAAATTCAAGCGGCCAGTGTAGACAGCTGGCAAGTTTTTCCGGAAAAGCGGCTCATTTTCCAGAAAAACTGGCCAGTCTAGACACAGCCAGGGAGTTAAGTGACCTGGCCAAGGTCACTGAGGAAGTCTGTGGCTGAGGAGGAACTTGAATCTGAGCTGTCCAAGTTACTTTGCTTCCTTACTTCCAATATTATTGTTTCTATCATAGATTAGAAATTAACTACATCAGCCAATGAGCATAAGCTGTGCTCTCTCATTACAGAGTAAAACATGCACAGCAGAGGACACTGAAATGGTAATTCTTAGGATTTACATAACTCCTCTCTTTTTCCAAGCTGGTTAATTCGTTTAGATTGTAAATTCTGACTGAGCTGTGCTGCAGGAGTCGGGGGGTTGGGGGAGTTGGGAAGCCTGGTGCACTGCTCAGCTAGGCTGTGGGGGGTGGGGAAGTGGAAGCTGGCGTGTGGCTCGGCCGGGCTGTAGGGGGCTGGGAGTCAGTGCATGGCTCAGATGAGCTGTAGGGTCCAGGAGCCAGGAAGCCTGGTGAGGAGGATGAGGAGGAGAGGGGGGCTAGCAGCAGGGGGGCCAGAAATGACCCCCCCAGTCTGGAAAAAATTCCTCTTCTGAGACTAGTCAGGTCCTGCGGGTGCCAGACCGGGGATGTCCAACCTGTAGCAGAGACACAGCCTAGTAAATGGACTATATACCCACAGCTGGGATCCAGAATGAGTACACTGGGGCTACGTCTAGACTGCAAGCCTCTTTCGAAAAAGAGCGTCTAGACTGCAACCAGTACTTTCGAAAAAGCAAGCCGCTTTTTTGAAAGAGCACCCAGGCAGTCTGGATGCTCTCTTTCGAAAAAGCACAGTTTGCATTACATAGAGCCTTTTTTCGAAAGAGCACTTTCGAAAAAAGGCGTTATTCCTCGTGAAATGAGGAGTACCACTGTCGAAAGAAAAGCCGTGTTCTTTTGATTTAATTTTGAAAGAATGCAGCTGTAGTCTAGACGCAGATGGAGTTTTTTCGAAAAAAGGCTACTTTTTTTGGAAAAAACCCTGCAGTCGAGACACAGCCTGAGAAGGATAACACCTCAAGAGCACAATGGCTCAATTCCCGAGAATCCTACCATTAAACAGTGCTCATTCTTAGCTAAAGTGGTTGGGTACTGATGTTTCAGGTAGAGGTTATTTCTTTTTCTCATGATGCTAACCACAGGGTTAATGTTATACTAGTACATACACCTCCAAGAGGGCTCTTCTGAGCTGGCCAGCAAATCACTAATCGATTTAATCACTAATGCAATATCTGTTTTAGCGATACCGATGATAGAACAAAATGAGCAACAGAAGATCCATATTTCTCAGAATGAATTTTACATAGGGCATAGTAGGTATGGGCTAACATGGAGCTTAATTGCATAGATATGGAAACCAATCAACAGCAAGATTTGTGTGCACCTTTTTCAAACCAATCAACCAACCCACCCCATATTGCACCTCATGTGCTGCTATCACACCATAAACATGCAACTTTTTTGTGTTATGGGCTTTATAGTTACAGAGAGCATAACAAAAAAACCCTAAGTTTACTGCTTTCTTTTGCTATGTTCTGAATATAAATGATCATAAATCAATCCTTATGGTTTCCATCAATATTTTGAAAAACATGGATTTGCTAAATTACCAGCCATAGTCTTCAAACTAGCCTTTAATTGAAAAACAGCTTTCAAATGCAGTTATCTAAAATTACAAAGTACACAAGATGTATAAATTTCCCTAAGCAGAACTACTATCACAAAAGTACTAGAAAATCTTGGCTATGATTATTCTTAATAGTCATTTTCTAACTTCAAATTTTAGGGCAGAAAAATGAGGTATAATGAGGAGTAACCACAAATTCAAGCAGCCAAGTCAAAATCAGAAATATAGGAAAATGTGGGGAAGAACTCCTTTTCAGGTCAGGTTCCTGGGAAAAAATTAGCTCCCAGTTCAACAATTCACAGCTTCAAGGCCAAAAAGGACCACTAAGATTTAGTCTAACACAGACTTTTCCAGGATAATTCCTAGTGCAGGTCTTTGAGAAAAAAAAATCCAATCTTGATGGACTCACCTTATTTCCATTCTGAATTTGTCTTCCAGCTACTTGATCACGTCATACGTTCACTGCTAGATTGAGGATACCATTCTTAAATAGAGGTTGAACCTCTCTAGTCCGGCACCCTTGGGATCTGACTGGTGCCGAATTAGAGAATTCACCAAACCACGGGAGGTCAATATTGTAGTGAGTGGGTCTCTATTTTTATTTCGCCAAGGCAAATAAATGGAATAGTGCTTGCATAGTGGCTTAATAACGTATGACTGTGTACTGATACACTCTATATAAGCCTATGCCTAGCCAAGGATTATCAGCTCTCTTCATAACAGAGTGTTAGCATCCTTACACAATTTTACTGTATTGACACAAGGAAGTAGATAAAGCGTAAAAAACATGCTTACAGATAGCAGCATGGCCTGCACTTCCACTGCTTGCTGGGCTCTTAGAAGACATTTAGGGGTGATTTAGAGCACAGAATAGAGAGAGCCAGGACTGCACATGAACTTTACGGGAACACGGGAAACTTGGCCACATCCTTGATAAGCGGACACCTGACTAATTAAAATCATGCCGGGCCATGGATGGTGCGGCACCAGAGGGTTCAAAAAAGAACTAGATAAATTCATGGAGGATAGGCCCGTCAATGGCGGTTAGTCAGGATGGGTAGGGATGGTCAGAAACTAGGAACAGGCGACAGGGGATGGATCACTTGATGGTTGCCTATTCATTCTCTCTGAGGCACCTGGCTTTGGCACTATCAGAAAACTAGATACTGGGCTAGGTGGACCTTTGGTCTGACCCAGTCTGGCTGTTCTTACAAGAATGCTGGAGTAGAGAGGTTCAACTTGTATTTGTTCTCCATGTAGATAATTACAGATTGTAATCAAGTCACCCCTTCACCACCTCTTAAATTTCAAGAAAGATGTGGAGAAATTGGAAAGGGTACAGAGAAGAGTGACAAGAATGATTAAAGGTCTAGAGAAGCCTATGAAGCCAGGCTTCATGAACTGGGCTTGTTTAGTTTGGAAAAAAGAAGATTAAGGGGGGACATGATAGTGGTTTTCAAATATCTAAAAGGGTGTCACAAGGAGGAAGGCGAAAATTTGTTCCTCTTGGTTTCTGAGGACAGGACATGGAGTAATGGGCTTAAAGTGCAGCAGGGGAGGTTTAGATTGGACATTAGGAAAACATTCCTAACTGTCAGGGTGGTCAAATATTGGAATAAATTGCCAAGGGAGGTGGTGGAATCTCCCTCTCTGGAGATATTTAAGAACAGGTTAGATAGACATCTGTCAGGGATGGTGTAGACGGAGCTTGGTCCTGCCTTGAGGGCGGGGGGCTGGACTCAATGACCTCTTGAGGTCCCTTCCAGTCCTATTATTCTATGATTCTATGATTCCTAACTGTAAGGGTGGTTAAACACTGGAATAAATTACCTAGGGAGGTTGTGGAATCTCTATAATTTAAGAGCAGGTTAGACAGACATTTATCAGAGATGATCTAGATGGTGCTTGGTCCTGCTATGCGGGCAGGGGACTGGACTTGATGACCTCTCGAGTTCTAGTTCTAGTCCCTTCTAGTTCTAGTATTCCATGATTCTACATTACATAACCCCTCCCAATGGCTTATATTTTAAGTGCACAACTGGGCATATAGGCCGAACAAAGAGAAGTGCTTTGCAGTGTTTTCGATTTAATTCATCCTGAGCAGCACTGACATCATACCAAGTTTGAGGAACAGTCGTCACTTGAGAGCGTAATTTAACTTCTTCAGAAGTCTCTCCTTTGTTTTGCCTGCAAGAAGTTAAAGCAATGCTTCCTTTGAGCCCTTGTGCAAAGAACAGGCTGGAGAATGTTTTCTTTAACACTGCATGAGAGGTCTTCCCCGCTTGAAGCCCAAAACTGTGCTTAAAATATCCTTACTAATATTCTAAGAAAAATGTTTCAACTTTTATACTTAAAAAAAAAACATTTCGATTTCTTTGCCCACCCTCAATTGCAAAGTGTTTCTGTTTAGAAAGGATAGCTTAGCCAAAATTCAACTTGTTTTTCAGGAATAAGGAATTAAAAAAAAATAAAAGCCATACAAAATAAATCTCCATTCTCTTTTATTCTGTAAATACATGTGTGTATGCACATAGAAGCTGGCACCTCCCTGTCAATAAATTTTCCTGTAGCACTCTGTACTCAAACCCGTATCAGTATCTGGCATCATGGGTCAAAGGAAGAGTGCAGTGCTGTATTGGTAATAAGAAGGCACAGAATGAACAGACAGTGCTGATGCCTTAGTAACTTTTCAAATAACTTTATGCCTAACCAGTTGCCACCAGCAGAGTCCCTGAATCTTCTTTCCCTTACATCAGTTTTACAGTAACATACCTCTACTCAGATCAATAGAGTTGTGCTTGATTTACACCAGCAGAAGAGAATTGGGCTCACAATCTTGAAAATAATTCTATGACATTCTAACTGTGAAAAAGGCACCTCAAAGAGTCAGAAAGAAAACTGATATTTGTTTTATCTTCCAGCCAGGAATAAAATTCACAACATTTAGAGAGACTTAAGAGACCTGTCAGTTTCAGCTGAAGTGAACAGGTACTGAGGATGTTCCACATGATGTAGGGTTAAAAATTAAAACAAAACAAAACAAACACCTCCTCTCTCCAAATCATAAGCCACCAAATGACATTGAAAAATTGCTTTTCAACCAAAAATTCTGTAATTTTTCCCCTCCGTTGGTCACCAAATTATGTTGCAAACCACAAAAACCCAAACATTTATATAATGTAGATATTCTTTAAAAAGTGGAATAATTTCAGTTTCGAGGGGTGAGGAGAATTTTCCTAGCCAACTCTCCTTAGCATCTCACAGGATCTGGTCCTGTCTGGTAAGTGTTGCATCCCACAGACTACATTTTCAAAAGCTCACTTCCAAAGGTGTGTGCACAGGTGCAATTCAATGCCAGCACCAATGACAGAATATAGGCTTCTGGCTAGAATTGTGGGCACACAGATACTTTCGAGTAGCGTTTCAAACAACACATTCGTGTTTGCAAATGAATGGGTGTGACATTATATACACATAGACACACACATCTAGTGCTCCACAGCTACCGACAACTGAACACATCAATCGAGTAATGGTGTGAGAAAGAAAGATCCAATTTTTCATCTGCATATGCAAATACTTGATTTGCATGAACATTTGTAGAAACTACTGATGTAAAATACCATATAGTTAGTAAATCAGTTAAACATTAAGTTTAATTGGTCGAGTGACTAAACGGAGGCAGGGCGGAGGTGGGCGGCGGGGGAGGGGGAAAGGGAGGGCCTTCCAACCTGCCACGGCTGGTCTGGAGTGGGCCCCATGTTGCGGGCGGAGGCTGCTCCAGTCCCGTGGGCTACCAGCTTCTAACCAATGCAAGCTGGGCGTCAGCAGCTTCGTGCAAAGGGGCCAGCCCCCCGCTGCCACTTCCACTGGCTTTCAAAATCTGCTCCTTGGCACAAAATTAAAGGCTGCGTGGAGATCCTAAAAAAGGAGGTTGGATTCTTGCAGAGCAATGGAGATAGGCCTCTTGTTTCTATTCATATTTGTTTCTCTGTCCATTGATTGCAACTTGCCCTTTGCGTCTCTGGTTCTTGGCCATCTCAACTCGCAAAGTATGACCCCTGAGGCTTAAGCCTTTCAAAGAGGATAGGACATTCTCAGCAGTCATTTTATTCGGGTAATCAAGAAAAGCCCTGTGCTGTGCTCCCTGCCAAGTGAGCCGCAAGGGGACTGCCTGGAATTCTTTTAAAGCACTTTTTAACTCACTCACTCGTGTGCCTGGAGGTAGATTACCTACATAGACAGTGGCGGGTGCACCATGTGGGTCTGATTTGGTGCTTAAAGGATCATTTCCAACATGACAATGTCCAATTTGGGCAGCGGCGGACTCAGCTGGCAGTTTTATATTTCCAGTCTTTGCGTTTTCCTCCGAGTCCGCTGGTTTCCTGGCGTTTGGAAAGTCTGGATGTTCGTCTTTCAGGGTAACATCATTGCCTGCCTGTCTCTCCCTGTAGCGAAGATTCTTTAGGATGGGGATTTTTCCCAGCATTTCGTAGCTAATCTAAAAAATTAAGACAGAAACAAGTGTGAGGAGGGGTTGTTGTTTTTTCAATTAACTCAACATATATGGTCAGATTGGAGTGTGATCTCATTTTGTCATCAACATTCAAAGTGCGCAGAGCAGTCAGCAAACTTTACTGATGGTGGGGCTGACTTCTGAAGTTACTCCATAAACATATGTGGCAGCGCAACCATACACACTAGTCACTGTGCAGGCTGCATGATGCAGATCGAGCAGAAAATAACCAACCAAGCCAGAGCTAAAGGGCTTTGGAATTTGCTGACTTGGGCGTGTTCAGATTTGCAACTGTAATGCTGCATCAACACAACCCACAAACACAAACACAACCCACTGCATCCCCCAAGGTCTTCCTCATGGAAGATGGCCAAAACTGTGTTAATGTTTTTCCCTCACAAGTCACCTGGCTCTGTGCCCCTCTCCCCGATCTCCTTCACATCATTTCTCAACGTCACAGCCACATCCCACTTCCTGTTACACTCTAAATGACAATGTGTGTTTTCCTCTCCCCTTTCTTCTCAAAGTAATTGAGGGGGGGATGATCTTCTCCTACTTTCCCAGGATCCTTAGGGGCAGCTGGTTTTTAGAAAGAGGCCTGCTATCTTTCCATCATGCCCCAGTTATCAGAAGCCTTATATCAGTGATCCAGGAAAGATTTCCATTCTCCATACTAAATGCCAGGGCCATGAAAGGGCCTGCATTGCAACCCATGATTTAGAGGAAACTTATGAACTCCCTAATTCTGTATAGCATGGTTGGACACTCCCCCACCCCCGTGAACTGTAGCAAAGCCACTGCAGTAGCTGCTGGAAGGAAAAGGAGCATTGATTGCTCAGCTGTTGATGAACTTGCAGACAAGCAAGATGTTTACCCTCAAGGAGACCTGACTGGTGAAATTAGTGCGGTAGCAGGTACCTTGTCAATTCCATCTCAGTGATCTACAAAGGAAAAGAGCCAGGCAATTGCCAAAAAATTGTTGATGATAGGTAAGCGCAGGGTATCAAAGCCCATCTAGGGCATAGGGGAGGCAATTTAGAAGAGGCGGCTCCAGGGTTCACGCATGTCACTGCAGGATTTCAGTTTGTGAACCTCAGGGTTTTATTTCCAGGCTCAGGTCTGGTTTCCTCTAGTTTTGGTCTAACACAACCCAGTGAGTGACTGAGGACAATTAGTTTAAAACAAAGGCTGCCTCCTTTTGGCCCCACATAGGTGCTGGAATCGGGCCTCTAACAAGCAAGCTTTTGGACTGTGCCACAATTTTGCTAAAAGCGAACACAATCTGTCGGGTCAGTGGTATACGGGTTTCCAAACAGGTATTGCCATAACTATGCAGCCACTACAAATTTTAGTGGTAACGTGGTTATACGCTGGCTCCCTGGGAGTGGGGATGGCAGCCAGCCCCGTTCCTGGGGAGCCAGCTGCTGCCCGGCGCTGCACACTCGCAGACAAAGGCAGCAGTGTGGGACGGCAGTCGGCTCCTCGGAAGCTGGTGCGCACCAGGAGTGGGTTGTTAAGCCGGCTCCAGCCTGCTGCCCTGCTCCCAGGGAGCCGAATGCTGCCTCTATACCTGTGCAGGACAGCAGCCAGCTCCCTGGGAGCTGGACCCGGAGCCGGTGTGTAACCATATGCACTTTTGGGTTACCAGTTTAAATTATTACGGTTTTACATCCCTAGTTTCTGTAGCTGCCATGGGAGCCCGAGCACACTGAAAGGTACATGCCATTTTCAAATGTTGATGAGTTATGACTCTGAGGATCCTTGGAGAGATGCATTTTTCCCTGACAAGTACATCCAGACTGCAGAAACTGACAGCATCCTCCCCTGTGCTGGGCATTAGACTAATGGCTGAAGCCATTGTACTTTGTTTTTCCTGGCCAACAATTAGGAACATTTGTTGTCCGCTGTCAAGTTTCCATGTGAAATGCAAGCTCTATGCTAATGAAACCCAACAGGAAAAACATTTTTCTACACTCATGTAACTAATCACTCCTGTACCCAAAACCAAACTCAAGCCTACTACGAAGCATGTGGATCGTTGCTTTCACTCTACGGTAAAACTTAGCTCAAAACATACATACAGAATCTTTATTTAGAAAAGTGAACACTCCCAAGGACAAACCTTCACCTCTTCCCACTGAGTCCTTGGGATGGGCACTGGGGTGGGGAAAAAAAGAACACTCCCAAGGACAAACCTTCACCTCTTCCCACAGCCTGAGTCCTTGGGATGGGCAAAAAATTGCCAGGCCCATCAGGACACTCTGCAGACAAGACCGAATTAAAGCAATCCCTAGCCACAGGGACGTGTCTTCCAGGACCTACCCCCAGCTCTGGAATAGCCCCAGTCATCATTGGATTGGCAGAAGGTTTCAGAGTTAAAATTAAACAGGACAGCTCCTCTCTCTTGCAGTTACTATTTCGGGCTGACTGCAAACTCTGAGAAGTGCCAGTTACACTTGGGTCAGGTTTTCAAGCTTCTCTTTGTTTCCACAGGGGCTAGAAATATTGTTTTAAATGAAACCTGTAATTCTGAGTTCATCAGGTGGGTGCAGGGGCTGGGGCTGCAGTAGTTACACCTTGGTACAATAGACACTGAGAGGGGACGTGATAGCAGTTTTCGAGTACCTAGACACTGAGAGGGGACGTGACAGCAGTTTTCGAGTACCTAAAAAGGGTGTAACAAGGAGAAGGGAGAAAACTTGTTCTCCTTGGTTTCTGAAGATAGGACAAGAAGTAACGGACTTAAATTGCAGCAAGGGAGGTTTAGGTTGGACATTAGAAAAAATCTTCCTAATTGTCAGGGTGGTTAAACACTGGAATAAATTGCTTAGGGAGGTTGTGGAATCCCCATCATTGGAGATATTTAAGAGCAGGTTGGACAGACATCTATCAGGGATGATCTAGATGGTGTTTGGTCCTCCTGTGAGGGCAGGGGACTGCACTTGACCTCACAAGGTCATAGACTCATACACTTTAAGGTCAGAAGGGACCATTATGATCATCTAGTCTGACCCCCTGCAGAGTGCAGGCCACAGAATCTCACCCACCCCTCCTAGAATAATCCTCTCACCTATATCTCAGATATTGAAGCCTTCAAATACTTTGAAGACCCCAAGATGCAGAGAATCCTCCAGCTGTGATCTATACCCCATGCTACAGAGGAAGGCGAAAAACCTCCAGGGCCTCTGCCAATCTACCCTGGAGGAAAATTCCTTCCCGACCCCAAATATGGCGATCAGCTAAACCCTGAGCATGTGGGCAAGACTCATCAGCCAGACACCCAGAAAGTTCTCTATAGTAACTCCTATCATCCCTCCATTGACCTATTTCCCACTGATAATGAATGGTCAATTAGTTACCAAGATCATGTTATCTCATCAAACCATCCCCTTCATAAACCCATCTAGTTTAATCTTGAAATCAGATAGATCTTTTGCCCCCACTACTTCCCTTGGAAGGCCGTTCCAGAACCTCACTCCTCTAATGGTTAGAAACCTTCGTCTAATCTCAAGTCTAAACTTCCTACTAGCCAGCTTATATCCATTTGTTCTTGTGTCCACATTGGTATTAAACTTAAATAATTCCTCTCCCTCCCTGGTATTTATCCCTCTAATATATTTAAAAAGTGCAATCATGTCCCCCCCTCAGTTCTAGTGTTTTATGATTCTATGATTACTCCCTACAGCTTCCTCCTTGCACCAAGAGGTCTCACACGGAGATTATGTCTACACTGTAGAGTTTTTCAGAAAAACGGCTGTTTTTCTGAAAAAAACTTAACGTCCACACTGCAATTGCGTTCTTTCAAAAAAAATTGAAAGAACAGAGGGGTTTTTCTGACATTGGTAAACCTCTTTCTATGAGGAAGAAGCCTTTTTCCAAAAGAGCTCTTTCACAAAAAGGCATGTGTGGAGGGGGAAGAGGGAGTTCTTTTGAAAGAAGAGGAAAGAGGAAAAAGCACAGGTGCCCTGGTGGTCACTCTGTCCATAGTAATCACAGCTTACATGCAAGAGATTGTCCATTTAGTGTGGACGTTATCTTTAGAAAAAGCAGATCGTTTTCTTGATGCGCTTTTGCTGTTTAGACGCTCTCTTCCGAAAGAAGCCCGTAGTCTAGATGTAGCATGAGATACACTGGCGATAAGCCTGGAGCAAAAGCCTAGGGTGGATGAGATAAGTGCTCATAGCTGCAGATCCCCCTTGCCCTGCCCTGACTAATCCTACCCCCCAAACCACTCTTCCTGTTGGAGATGCATACCCAAGAACAATCCTCTGTATTCTACTACCCCCACTACTTCCCATGCCAAAGACACACCCTGCTTCCACTGCCCACCAGGCCTTTCATGCTCATGATGGGAACAGGGCAACATAGTCTGCCCAAAGGATGCTGTAGGATGCTGTCCTCATCCCATCGGAGTGTTGCTAGTCACTTCAGGAGGAGCACAACTAAAATGTCTAACTCCCTCACCTCCCCCGCAAAACAAAGACGCAGTTGAGGATCTCCGGGTATAGATTCGACAAAGCCATTTGTGGCGAGGCAGGGTGGCTTGGGAGGAGAAGGGAAATAAGCCGTTAGCTCTTCTCGTAAAATACTAAACAAAGAGCCCTCCTGCAGTAGGACAATGTGTTGCTAATTATAATCATGCAAAAAGCTACTTTTGTCTTGAGGGCTGCAGTGATTTATGGGGAAATGGAGAGAATCCAAGGACAGTCTCCTCCTCCAAACTGACCATTTCCTGGTTTGACTGGTTCAGAAGCTTCCCAGCCTCATCTAGTGGTGAAAGCACAGAACTGAGAGTGAGAAGACATGGGTTCAAGTCCCATCGCCGGTGGCTTGGTAGATGGCCTGGGGGAAGTCATTGAATCTACCTCTGTAAATTGGTGAGAATCTAGTCACCCGTCCACAGTGCTCTGAGATTTCTCTGCAACAGGGATGCGTGTGTGTGGGGAAAGCAGGGGGGCAGTCCCCTTGATTAGTGAATGCCTCCA